GATTTTCGAACTTGACCTGCGTTTTAGTGAGATTGATTACTCCTGTGAGTTTCATGACAACAGGCCTATCGGTTTTCTTTGAAATGTGTTAACAGTGTTGCATATATGCTGAAAAGTGAAAAAACAGCATAAATTCTACAATAATGGCCCGATCATGCTGATTTTCGAACTTGACCTGCGTTTTATGAATATTCATCAGCTCTGTAAATATAAAGCCAAAAAGTAAAACTGTCTTCCACTTATGGTGTTAACGCTGAAAGTGCACGGCGACGGCGACGGCGACATCGACGGCGACATGAACGGCGACGACAGACGCAGGTGATGGCAATATGTACAGACACATCTGTGTCTGTACATAAAAAAGCATAAATTCCCTACAAATAGCCCGATAATGCTGATTTTCGAACTTGACCGGCGCATTATGAATATTCATCAGTTCTGTAACTTTCAAGCCAAAAGGTAAAACAGTTTTTCACTTATCGTGTTTACGGTGAAAGTGCACGCCAACGGCGACGGCGACGACAGACGCAGATGATGGCAATATGTACAGACACCTCTGTGTCTGTACATAATAAAATGGATGAAATGTTTTAAACTTTACACCTTTTACATTGTTTGTGTAGAAATAGATATTTCTTAGGAGGGAAAGGAGCGGATTCAGAGATATTTTCTGACAGTATTCCAAAGTATCTTTGTTGATCCATCCTCCATTTTGATGGTCTTCCAACAGAAAAAAAATAGATACCAGTCAATATAAACTTTAAAACCTGACCGTCTTCCGGAAGACCCAGAGGATGGTCTTAATCCACTCCTTCAATAAGATTACAGTTTCAGAACCATGAGTGTTCAAATTCAAATCATGGAAGTCTGGATATTTGAAAAATGATGACAGTGCATAAAATAATATTACATAATGTTTAAAAACATAAATACCAATACAACTGCTTATGTGGAAATACAGAAAATGTGCAGAGACTCAGGTGGATGGGAGTTAAAAGTCATAAATGCTAGTGTTTGAGAAAAAAATTAAAAAGAAAACGTAACAAAACTAGAAAAGCGCTCAGACAATGCAGACCTCGGCCAAGGCAGCAAATAAGTTATATATATATCAAGTTAAGTTTATCGGTGATTTACCAGCGGTAAGAGTAGCAATCATGGCCCCTGTGTCCTCATGGATTACTTTTTAATCCCCCATAATTAACGCAGGAATAGGTGCTGAAATAGGGGATATTGTATCAGAAAATTTTTTAATTAATTCTTAGTAATCGTGTATCCATAAAATATCAATCATTGCATTAGAACACATTTTTCCAACTGGAAAATATCATACCGTAATTCATGCACACAGTCGCTGACCAATTATAGAGAGAATCTTACGATGTAAACAAAGCTCAGTCAAGTTAAACTCATCTGAGGTTGCAGGGCAAACATGGAGATGTGAACCGACACGTTAAAGTACGAGTGGTCTAGCGACACTATAATTTTATCATGATTCTATGGTCCAAGCAATAGCAGTACCTTTTATAGTGTGAGGGGCGACACCTTATGAAACTTTTGGTTCTTCCCCTTAATGTTTATTACAAAGAAAGTATATTGACATGGACGTTATCTGCTTCCTGGTGAAGACTTCTGCATTTTCAAAGAAACAATGGGAATGTCGTTTCAAAACAAAGAGCCACACTGTCCTAGTACTCCTACTCAGGTGGCCCAAGTATTGACACTGAAACAGACATGCTGAAAATTACCGGCCGCGGCCCTTGACCCACCAATCAGGGAGTCGGGCCGACAATATTCTTAAAATTTTAGTGAATGTCGGCCCAAATTGGCCGGCAATAATTTCTGACTCACCTAGTGAAACTTTCTTACGAAATATTTTATTTCTTAAACTTTGTAATCTTATCCAAAATAAAACAATTAAAGAAGCCATTATCATTCTTCACTCACTAAAAAACGAAGGGGGGCAGCCATTTTCAAAGGGAACGCAGTATATAGTAGGCAGGCAGCATTTATTATCTGTCAGCTGATGGTCATAATTGAGGCACAGAAAACACGTGGCATGTGATTTGTGTGAAGATGATTAGTGAATTTTCTTTTATCTGCATTGCCATTTTCTGAACATTTGTATTAGCTACAAATATTTTATCAGAAAATCACCCAGCAGCTTTCCAAGTACAAGTGAGTGATGTCACGATGCACTTCCGGTTTTCGTCGAGATCTTGAAGGGATTAGCATTACGGTTTGCTGCACATTTAAAACGTTTTATCTCAAAATATACGCAACGGCTTGGATTGAAATTTACAACACTTAATCTTCACATAAATTAATATCACACCTATGTGCGTAATTTGAGAGCTTTAGCTATCAAACGTTTTCTACAGTGCCCATTCAAATTTGAAAGAGCTATTTTCCGTAGATTTCTTGAAGGGCAAGTCTATGATTTCTTGTAAAAATAATAAACTTATGCCTCAACCATAAGAGTAAGGTAAATTCCATAATTTGTTTGAAAAATACAATTCACTGTTAAGCTCTATATAATACATGTTAAAGTCATGTGTAGGTTGGGATAATTTGACATTTTGTCTAAGGTTGCTGTAAGAAACTCAAAACTTGGAAAAGTGCTCTTGGGTAGTTTAGACGGAAGATTTAGCTCAAGTAAGGCCTGGTTTAAGGTTAGTCCAGGAAAATTGCAGTTTACCTATGGAAAATTTGTTTTCTGTAAGTTTTTGATGCCTTTTTGGCCCTAAGTTTACTTTTAAGTCATATTACCCACATGTTATCTAAGAAGTGAAATGTCTCTTCAATAAAAGATCTATTCAAAGATGCAGTTATTTGATTTTTAATCACCTAATTGCTACTCAACTGTCCTTTTAAAGTGTAAAAAGCAGAATTTAAAAGTGCACAATTTTTACACGAAATAGGGTAAATATACAAATCAATGCAAAAAACATTTGGGCCGGCAATATCTTGTCTGGGCCTGCAATATTCAGATCTAAGCAGGCCAATTGGCCTGCATTGCCCTCAGAGTTTTCAGCATGTCTGCTGAAACACAAAAAGAAGAGTCTGATTCCAATGAAAAAGGTAAGCAGTGCACAGCAACCAAGCACTATTATAGTAAACACTGGCCCAACTATGAGATCAATTAGCAGATTGTCTTCTGGGTCTTCTGGAAGATGGTCAAATTTCTAAGTTTACATTGATGAGTACCTAATTTTTTCTGTTGGAAGATGGTCAAAAAATGGAGGATTGATCAACAAAGATAATGTGGAAGACTGTCAGAAAATATCTCTGGATCCGCCCCTGAATTAGATATATAAAATGATGGTCAAGAATTGTACTATAAAAATGTACCCTCTGTTCGAACTTATTTATCATTACGCAGACAAAGGCTACCCTCTACCAGAGTTACAGATTTATTTTTCACTACATAATCTCTTGCGCTGATGAAAAATACACATAATTAATTTTCAGCCTTAGAAGAGGGTCCTCTGTCGCAAATCAAAATTAACTATCAAAAATTAGTATTGGCAATCTGTTGAAGGATGTGTAGTGTCGAAGACCTATCATACATGGTGGATCCAATGTATGGTGATATGTCATGTGCACGCTGCTTTTTCTACAGTTCCTATCATTCTCTTAACGTATGAAAATATGCCAATATTCTGATATGATAAGACTGATAAAATATCCAAACCATTTTGTCCTATCAATATGTTGCTCCAAAATGAGACTTTTTTTACATTTTATATACATGTACAGTATTATATCTTCAGTGAAATATGTAATGAAAATTGGACCATTTAGAGATGCATATACATGTAAAGTAGGCATATCAAAGCTGAAGTTTGAGTTACAGAATATTTCTGTGTGGTTATTTATACACGGTCAAGCTAAGATGACACCTACATGTACCAGTTTAACAGATGCAGTTTTACAGTGAACTCAAGGCCAGACACCAAAATAGAAATCCATGAGAATTACAGTACTTTCTTCTGATTACGATATTAAAAGTGAAACAAAATGCAAAATTGTTTACAAAGTGCAAACAGACAATTTATAGATTATCAGGCATTATAACATTTTGCCTATCTTTACTATAAGTTGCAGTCAGAAAAATTGAAAGTCGAGAAAAATATCGCCATGGTGCTGATAAGTCCCGCCGCGGCTTCCACAACGGCAAGACTGAAGGATGCATAATACAAAGCAAAACCTGTTTAGTCAAGTTAAAGACTTACTTACTGGTTTAACAGCGGCGACAGTGCCGCGGTGAGTGACCTTTGCTGCCCATCATAATCCCCATTATTATCACGGTTGGGGGCTTGTGCACTTGCACGTAAGAAATAGACAGTGCATGCTATTAAAGTAATGGCTATACGGAATATGCATGAAAAAGGATAGTAAAATAACATAAAATATAATTTTACTACCTTCACCTTTTTGATCCCTGTTGGTTATATTGGTCATTGGTCTGGTGGGACAATCATCAGTCTTTTTGGTAATGGAGTTACCTGAGAAGTAGAACTATTATTATTATTTTTTTAAATTTATTTTCGTATAAAGGCATTTGCCCAGATTACAAATGTAAATGGTTCATATAACGTAACTATTGCGCATGCGGAGAGCTCACATACGTGCACTATCCATTGCAAGTAGAACTAGAGGATCAGAGAGGCGATACCGCCTCCAAATATTGTACCACCAGCTGGAGCAAACGCATTCGTATAGACCCCCACATACACAAAATAAGGGACACAGCCACAAGTTTTGTGCTTGACAAGCTGTAAAAATGCAATCAACAAGAATTTTTTAACTATTGCAAAAAATATATATGGTACAATCAAATTTAAGTTCTTCGTAAGGTAGGTCAAGGGTCAATTTCAAGGTCACAGTAAATTGCCAATATNACATGCTGAAAAAAATGATATTAAACAGCTTAACTTCCATAAAAGTGGTCCAATCATGCTGATTTTCAAACTCGACCTGTGTATTATGAATATTTATCAGATCTGTAAGTTTCAAGCCAAAGGGTAAAACAGCTTTTCATTTATTGTGTTATCGGTGTTGCAAAAATGCTGAAAAAAAGTGAATAAAATAGCCTAAATTCAGTAAAAATGACCCAATCATGCTGATTTTCAAACTTGATCTGCGTATTATGAATATTCATCAGTTCAGTAAGTTTCAAGCCAAAAGGTAAAATGGTTTTCCATTTATGGTGTTATCGGTGCTGTATATATGCTGAAAAAAGAGAAAAAATAGCCTAAATTTACTAAAAATGACCCAATCACGCTGATTTTCGAACTTGACCTGCGTATTATGAATATTCATCAGTTCTGTAAGTTTCAAGCCAAAAGAAAAAACAGTTTTCCACTTATCGTGTTATCGGTAAAAGTGCACGGCGACGACGGCAACGACGGCGACGGCGATGACAGACGCAGATGACGGCTATATGTACAGACACATCTGTGTCTGTACATAAAAATTCTAACACATAACAGTAATAATAATTTATTTCTTGAAACCATTCTACACATACATCTGTGTTGTTTATGAATTTTATAATACCTATTCTTGAATTTTAGACCTCTGATTGAATTGGTCAGTTGAAATGGTATAATCTGAATAAAACCATTGTGCATAGTACTACATTTGTAAGATGTAGTGACTACATCAGGTAACCTGACCATGCAATATTACCAATTATTGTTAGTTGACCTGGGTCAAAGAGAATTTCCTGAAGAATAATCAAGTAGCTTGTTTTTTGTAATTATTAACAGTTATACTAAATCTACTTGTATATCATTTCCTGTAAGTTTAAGAAGAATAAGTGACATGGTTTTTCTTAAATGGTCTCTATGGAGGCAGTGCCCAAAATGGAGTTTTTTCAATTTTAAAGCAATATTATATAATATTAATTAATGTTAAATAATATTAAATAATGCTCAATACTGTCTCCAGGTATTGTACCACCAGCTGGAATAAGCATATTTGTATGAAAAAAAAAGACACCACCTCCTGTGTTGTGCTTGACAAGCTTTACAAAATGCAATAAACAGGAATTATCAATTTCTTTGTTGAAAATTACAATTTATAATTAAATCATGGAGAGAAATAAAAGGTAAAATTTAAATTTGTGAAGTGCGGTTCATGGCAAAAAGTAGATCAAAGGTCAAATTCAAGGTCACAGGAAGACTGTCAATATATGAGTTCCTACTCAATCTTGTTCCCAGTCTAAACATGGCCATCCTTTGTGACCAAAAAATGATGAACATTCAGAAGGCCACAAAGACTGTTATTCGGACAGTGAATTAGATGTAATGAAAAAATAATTTAGAAACATTGTCTGGGATAATGACATAATTTTCGCCTAAACTTAAAAGTGCATGTGATAAAGTCAGGGCAAATGAACTAACGTCTGAATCTGAAAAAAGATTTCCGAGAATGCTGGTCTGTTAGATGAGTGTGCCAATAATCATGACAGGGGTACAGGTAACAATTAAAGTACAAGAAAGGGTCAGGATGCCAATTTGTCAAAACGTGAGATCAATGAAGATCATAAACAACTAGCAGGAAAGGCAGGGCAGATTTTCTGAAAAACCTGGGGGAAGGGTTAGTAAACAGAGAGCAGTTGGCCCCTGACATTGCTGAAGACTTAACAATTAAATTCAATAGTATAGCTTGTCAAGGCATGAAAGATTCAACTTTTGAAGAAATGACAGAAAACATACTAAGACCAGGCAACCGTCTCATGCTTGGCTCTGCAACGGTTAATCCAGAAATTTGGAACATTGTTTTCACTGAATCAAATACTAGGGATGTTAGATTGTCTGTCAACCAAACAGAGGAAAGATGCCCTTCTGAATTCCAAATTGCTGTCTTACTTACCTTAACATCCCTAAATTATATGCCCACCCTGAATCATTACATCCCAAACATGTATTTAAGTTGGGACATGGCCAGTACGGCGTTAATAATCTCTCCCTTTAACTATGGTGCCTATATAGAATTCCAGTCAAACTTCAGTTTACAGAAAAGTCTTGTAAAGCTGAAAAGCCCATTTCTGTCCACTGGAGAACTGGATTAAGGTAATATTAACTAATAACTTTGATTTTTGACAGGAACCTGCCCTTTCATCAAAGAATGCGACACAAATAATTTCAAGTATACCAAGAATATTGTTGGGCATGCATTGGGCTTAAGTCACCAAAATACACATGAGAAAATTGGCCAACAAAATGAGATGATTGCAGTATAATAGTGTGATATGGAACACAAACATACACACAGAAATGTAATGACATTTAACAGTATGACTGAACAACCAGCTGTGGGGGAGGGGGAGGAGGTGGCAATTCCCACATGACAGAAATGCTTGACAACTACCAATGACAAAAGCCACATAAATCAAGCAGAAAATGACTGCTATACAATTATGATTAAATTAAGCTAGCTAGATATCAAAACAGCTCAGACAGTACAAAAGACAATGTTTTGCCATTCCTTGTCATGCTCAAAGAAAGGATGTTTCTTTCCTACCCTCTTAATTTCATGGGTGCTACAGTTATGAAGAAGTATAACCTGATGATACATAGTTTAATTAGAATTTCATTAGTCTAAATGTTCATTACATAAAAGTTGCATTGATGTATAAGATATTGGCAATTAATTAAGTATATTTAAAAGTAATTGAACTGAAAGTCATTTTTCAGGAATATTTTAAAATAGGACTGGTGAGAATCTTCCTTAATCTCCAACAGCAATTGCTAGCATTGTACTTCTGACCAAACAAAGTTTCAAACCAATTCAAACAAGGCAGCAAAGCTGTCAAATGTACAGACAAAAAACAGAAAATCAAGATGCAAAAATAGGTCATTTTGTCAATTTTGATGCAATAATAAATAATGCTTATAATAGCACAGTCAGTCAACACTGAATTTAAATCATGCACAACAGGTAACATGGTCAATAACAGGAACGGATCCAGAGATATATTGTGACAGTATTCTAAAGTATGTTTTTTGATCCATCCTCCATTTTTGATGGTCTTCCAACAGAAAAAAAATAGATACCTATAAACCCAGAAGATGGTCTCAATCCACCCCTTCAATAAGATTACAGTTTCAGGACCATGAGAGTTCAAATTCACATAATGAAAGTCCCAATATTTGAAAAATGATGACAGTGCACAAAATAATATTACATAATGTTTAAAGACATAAATACCAATACAACTGCTTATGTGGAAATACAGAAAATGTGCAGAGCCTCAGGTGGATGGGAGTTAAAAGTTACATCGTAAAAATGCCAGTGTTTGAGAAAAAATCAAAAAGAAACTAGAAAAGCACTCTGAGAGCGCAGACCTCCACCAAGGCAGCAATTTTTGATTACTATTGATTACTGATTGGTTATTGATCCAGATCACCACCAGATCACCACCAAAAACTAATCATCTGTTCCTTGGCGCACTTCTGACAGTTCTTGAAAATTTCATCAAAATCAATTTGTAACTTTTTGAGTTATGTGGATGACAGACAGACAGAAAGATAGAGAGGCAAACAAAGAAACAGGGGTAAAAACATAACCTCCTTGGCAGAGGTGAAAAGGCATAACTTCATCAAAACTGAACTGATCTAGTTTATTTTCAAACTTGATCTGTATATTAGTCAGACTGATCAGTTGCAGACAAAAGGCTGATCGATCTTCTTTAAAATGTGTTATTAGTGTTAACGTTGCATATATGTAGAAAAAAGCAAAAAAAAAAAAAAAAAAAAGGACAGTATAACTTTTGTGGAAATGGTCCAATCAAGCTGATTTTCAAACTTGACCTGCGTATTATGAATATTCATCAGTTCTGTAAGTTTCAAGCTAAAAGGTGAAATGGTTTTCCACTTATCATGTTATTGGTGTTGCATATATGCTGAAAAAAAGTGAAAAAACAGCATAACTTCCATAACAATGGTCTGAACTTGCTGATTTTCGAACTTGACCTGCATATTATGTATATTCATCAGTTCTGTAAGTTTCAAGCCAAAAGAAAAAACAGTTTTCCACTTATCATGTTATAGGTAAACGTGCACGGTGATGATGGCGACGACAGACGCAGGTGACAGCTATATGTACAGATGCATCTGTGCCTGTACATAAAAAGTCATGAGTCATAGTGCTTAAGCTTTAAATGAAATTTCAAAATAGTAAGTCTTCAGTCTAACGAGATTCACCAATTTAGTGCTTAAAACCTCATTTTCATACCAAAATAGCAATATTACCTTCTTGGTTGAGTTAGTAACAAATTATTGCCATTCTGGGTTTAAAGGAAACTAGAAACATACCTGTACTGTTGACCTTCATCTCTGGACGGCATTTCCGTGGGATACATAGATTTAAACTGCATCTGCTTTCGCCACCTGGGTGATTCACCTGAGGGCATGGATACCAGCCAGACCATTTTTTGCATACTGTTGAAGGCAAACAAAAACATTTTTGTAAATTGAAATTGAAGCATAAAAAATCATAGTTTCATCTTTTTAGACCAAACATGATGCTACATATTTTATTTGTATTTGTTAGCACATGAACAATGTGAATAGGTGTCATCAGAATATTAAAATGTTATTATTAGTTTTATACTTTTACATTTCTTAAGTTTAATGTCGTTTTTTTTCTTAACTAGGTAAGGATAGCTAAATAATTTGCACTTACACTGAAAATAACTTGTTAAATATATAAGTTTACTTAAACAATTAATTATTCCTTCAAAGACAGTTACTAATTAAGCCACTTAAACAATTATGGCATCAAAGATGTCAAATGTACAATCACATATCAGAAAAAACTGCTTCAAAGGCAGCAAGTGTCATTTGCATCTGATAATCCAACTCCGGCTCTTTAGCAAGTCAAGCATACACTGTCACTTTTATTGGCTTTATTATTTATTCGCTCAAAAAGAGTGTCTGAGCTTTATTGATATCAACCTTTTCCTTGCCACCAAACTGCAACTTGATATTAAAGATTTTCCAGGGTAGCAGACCTTGAAACCCAGGGGCAACACTGGGCATATCTTTGCCAGTTTTGAAGATATGGGGAGGGGGAGGCAAAAACATGCAGTTCAAGGTGGAAAAGTAGGTCGAAGGTCAAATTCAAGGTCACTATAAGACTGCCAGCATATGACATCCATAATTTTACCAGTTTTAGCACTATCAGGGACAGAAAATTTGCAAAGTTCAGTTCACTGTGAAAAAGTAGGTCAAAGGTCAATTTCAAGATCACAGTATATGACATCCTTCTCAAGTTCAATAGCAATTATGGGCATTTCTTTGCCAATTTTGGAGATATAAAGGCCGGAAAACATGCAAAGTTCAGTTCATGGTGAAAAGTAGGTAAAAGATCAATTTCAAGTAGGGTTGCTAGTTTTGAAGATATGGGAGGAGGCAAAAATATGCAGTTCATGGTGGAAAAGTAGGTCAAGGTGAAATTCAAAGTCACGGTGAGACTGACAATATGTGACTTCCTAAGAATACCAGTTTTAGAGATTTAAGGGAAGGAAAATTTGCAAAGTTCAGTTCATGGTAAAAGTAGGTCAAAGTTCAATTTTAGAGTCACAGTTAGATTGCCAGTATATGACTTCCTATATTCAAGTTCAGAAAACTTGCAAAGTGCAGGTCATCATGAAAAGTACGGTAATTTTTCGATCTTTTCAATAATGCATTCTTTTTGATATTTTTAATTTCTCCGCAAATTGAATTTTTTTGTAAATCATAAAATTCGATTAATGGCAACTTTTGCACTATTCTATTTTCAAAAATCGATAGCAAGTTTGGGTTGACTTGCTAAGAAGATTGTTAAAATCTGGAACGCCAGTGTAACTGTAGCCATTCGCGCCAATATCATCAATTAGATGTTATCGCGAGTCATGCAAATCTGTGTACCTGAACAAAGGCCACCTCATTCGTGAAAGCTGATTAATTTTAATTAATGTTAAAAACTACTCAATTAACTTGAAACTGTCTACAAAGGGAGCATTTGAAATCAACAGTGATGGTATGGTGGGTCGTTTTGAAGGTCAAATTAAACATTTGAAATAGATAGGAAGGTCCACAGACTTGCGAAAATTGATTGCATAGTTCCCGTTAAAAGATTAATCAAAAGCTCTATGTGTAGCAAAACGCAAATAATTTTACCTGATATTTTCGTTCATACAGTAATTATACTGAATTTGTAATCAGAAATAAATTGTTTCGATGTTACAGTCTTACAAGTCTGCTGAATAAATGAATTTTAAGTCTTTTGGTTCATCTAGAGATTGATTTTATATCACCAAAGCATGCAACAGCCATACAACGGCGATAAGTACGGATTTGTGCGTGAATAAGAAGCAGCAGCAGCGTACCTACAAACAGAAAGAAAAAATGAATGAATTGAATTTTCAATCGTGATTAAATTACTTAAAACTGAATATTTCTTGTGTCTAAGCATAACTTTATGATCCGAATCATTTTATTCTTACTTCTTAGCTATCACTTATATTCTAAATTATGTTTGCCATGGCACCATACAGTGAAATTGTATCCAATTTTCCGTGCGATTTCTTGACATCGAAAATATTTACAGGCCAGGCGCATACGTGCGTGTCATGTTCTTTCTTTCATATAATGCTTCCAGCGCCTTGCCTCCATTTCTTTTGAATAAACGTTGTTTAAAAAAAATGTTCTTTCTCCAACGACCTTAAGGTAAGGTAGCAAAAAAGTTTGTTGGTTTAAAATAGTTCACACGGAGCCCTCTCGCTCTCAGTGCAATTGCCATATGTTCTCCGTGCGGCCTCCTTGAAGATCGATACGCGTTCGGGAAGCCCTCCACAAATTTTTGCACCCATGTGGTCAACATATGGAAACACAACATAAAAACCATACATGTGAATTACATTAAGTTGTGAAAACCTTCACTTTTGTTATGCGGCATGAAAAGGGGTTTGCGAAATCATGCCAGGACCACACAGACATCGTTTGGTAAGTGTAACAACACATACAAGAAACTTTTTGATTCGCTATTTTCAATGCGACAGGTCACTGGACAATGTCGTATTTCAATAAAAACGATGAAAATGGATTTTCTGCCAGGGCAATTAGTTTTTCCCCATCGAAAAGATAGAAGAATTACCATAGGTTAAAGGTCAATTTCAAGGTCATAGTTAGATTACCAGTATATTACTTCCTCTTCAAGTTAAATAGTGTCTATGGGTGTATATCTGCTAATTATGGAGTATCTCAAATTTTGTTTTCACCACTGAATATTGCAAAGTTGTACTTTTTGATATATAGTGCAATGCCTAAACCATATCTCAAACAAAAAAATGGACACCACTTTCAGAATTGTGCCCGACAAGTTCTACAAAATGCAAAAAACAAAAGGTCTCTAGCATTTACAGTTCCAAAATTAGAGAGAGTGTTCAGTTTCAGTATCAAATGGCTGGTTCTCCCATGAAAATGCACTGATTGACCCCAAACTCCCAAAGATAAAAGGAGTCCCTAATAAAGGGTACCGGAGAAGATCAGCATTGGTTAGAATTGTGCAGGAAGTGACGTGTAGTGGTGTAAGACGTAAAGCTGAGTGGCCTTTTTTGCTGAAGGTGAATGGGAATGAAGGCGAGGGTGGGCTTGGAGAAAAAAGCAGTTATTCTAACAACACGGTAAGGTAACATTTTATTTTTATGCATTTGGGGCAGAGAATACTTGTAGAAACAATAGGCACATGATGTGAAAACGTGTCACGAAACTTGAAGGTGCAAAACCATGGTTAATTTGCAGACAATTTGTTTTGAAATACATGCTGCGTCGACCGCCAGCGCTGTCTACATCATACGAGCATGTGCGCAAGCCCCCGGCAGTGTTAATGATAGGGGGATTACGATAGACAGCGCAAGTCGCTCACAGCAGGAGTCACTGTTGCCGCTGTTAAGCCGGTAATTAAGTCTTTAACTTGACTAAACATGTTTTGCTTTGTAACTTGCGTCCTTCAGTCTTGCTGTTGCGGAAGCGCCGGCAGGACATATCTCCACCTTGCCGATATTTATCCCGACTCCCAACTTTAGTATTATTGTTTTTGATTTTATCAAAGTCTTATTATATCAGAAAACCTGCATATTTTCATACGTTAAGATAATTATAGAAACTGTAGAAAAAGCTACTCGTACATCAGGGATAGAAAACAAGACCTTGCAGCACTATAACCTATTATTCATCAACAGAAGTTCCTGTTTCACTTTTTTTCTCCCAAATTACAAAGTCTGATGACAACTGAAAGGTTTTAGCCATACCTCAGGGCAGTGAGTCTGGATTTGATTAAAAGTAATAAAAGTATATTTTGAAGAATTTTCCTAGCCTTCGGCAATTTCTGCAAAGCTTTGGTATGCGCGGCAATACAGAGCTGTCGATATCAGCGTGAGAGCATAATAGAATTGGTGGAACAACGGTTAACGTCGTTGCATACTCAGTAACCTTCCCAATGGGAGTTCATGCCCCCGATGGTACTTTTGAAGATTTTGAAATTGTCATTATTATAGATATCTATTAATATATAAAACAGTTGTGGCTAATTGTTTTTGCAATGGAGTAATCACGCATTGTCTTCTAACTTGCGGCTTAGTTGACTCCTTGCTGGGAAGAAGTAGCGGCCTCATACTGCTGTGCGTAATCACACATTGTCTTCTTACTTGCGGCTACACAACGGTTGCATTGTATTAACAAGGCAGCAAAGCTGTCAAATGTACAGACAAAAAACAGGAAAAAAGGTCAATTTGTCAATTTTGATGCAATAATAAATAATGCTTACAATAGCACAGTCAGTCAACAGAAATTTTTAATCATGCACAACAGGTAACATGGTCAATAACAGGAGCGGACCCTGAGATATTTTCTGACAGTATTCCAAAGTATCTATGTTGATCCATCCTCCATTTTGATGGTTTTCCAACAGAAAAAAATAGATACCAGTCAATATAAACTTAATAACCTGTCTTCCAGAAGACCCAGAAGATGGTCTCAATCCACCTCTTCAATAAGATTAGTTTCAGGACCATGAGAGACCAAAGTCACATGATGAAAGTCTCAATATTTGAAAAATGATGACAGTGCATAAAATAATATTATATAATGTTTAAAGACATAAAAAACAATACAACTGCTTATGTGGAAATACAGAAAATGTGCAGAGCCTCGAGCGGATGAGAGTTAAAAGTCACAAATGCAAGTGTTTGAGAAAAAATTGTAAAGGAAAACATAACAAAACTAGAAAACCACCGATAGTGCAGACCTCTGCCAAGGCAGCAATTGTTGATTATTATTGATTGATTATTGAGCCAGACCACCACTTCTGACAGTTCCTGAAAATTTCAGCAAAATCGGTCCATAACTTTTTGAGTTATGTTGATGACAGACAAACAGGGCCTGAGGTAAATATAATTTCAATGAAGCTGCTATTCAAATTTTTAATCTTTGATTATATATATATATATAATAACCTGCATAATTATCACTGCTTCCTTATTATTAATGTAGCAGAGAGCTTAACTTTTGGGAGTTTACAAGGAAATATCAACAAGTGTGCTTTATGTAATCTCCTTTAATGGCCTATCAATTAGGCAAATGACTTTATAACTCAGAAATTAGCTAAGTGATACCCAAGGGATATTAACAGACTGACCCTCTCAAAGGTCTTTCAGGCCCATAAGTCACATCTTAAGAAAAGCACAAAACAATAATGCACAAAATAGGAGACTACCAATTCTGATGCAATAATACATTATGTTTTACTGCACAGTCAACATCAAATTTTAATTATGCNTATAAATATTCATCAGTTTTGTAAGTTTCAAGCCAAAAAGTAAAATGGGTTTCCACTTATCGTGTTATCGGTGCTGCATATATGCTGAAAAAAGTGAAAAAACAGAATAACTTCCCAAAAAATGGCCCGATCATGCTGATTTTCAAACTTGACCTGCACATTATGAATATTCATCAGTTTTATAAGTTTCAAGCCAAAAGGTTTTTCACTTATCGTGTTATCGGTGTTATAATAATGCTAAAAAAAGTGAAAAAACAGCATAACTTCCCTAAAAATGGCCCGATCATGCTGATTTTCGAACTTGACCTGCGTATTTTGAATATTCATCAGTTCTGTAAATTTGAATACAAAATGTAAAACGGTATTCCACTTATCGTGTTATCGCTGAGTGCACGGCGACGACGGCGACGACAGACGCAGATGATGGTTATATGTACAGACACATCTGTGTCTGTACATAATAAAGTAATACCTATTCATAAGGAAGGGGGCAGATGGTAATCTTACGAGAATTAAATCAGTTATCGATCTAACGCGTACCAGTAGTCTTGTTTTTTAATAGCCAAACAGTACCTGTCAGAATCGCTTTTCCAACTGAGTATTGCATAATAATGTCAATAATTAGTAACTTAGAGCTAGTCTTAATTACCTGTTAGCTTTGGGATCGGCTCACCTGAATTCTCTTTTCATCTTTTTGGGAAGATCTTGTAAGATGCCACTAAATGCCCTTCGCGTACTTGTGATTAGTGCCTACCCTGGTGTATTAGTCAGGGGCAGATTTAGGCCGTCTTCTGGGCCTTCAGGAAGACGATCAGATTTTCAAGTTTACATTGACGGGTATTTAATTTTTTTCTGTCCGCCCCTGTATTAGAGTGAGCATATGTGTGGAATTTCATGTCAGATGGACATATAAAGATCTAACAATTCGTCGCATTATTTAAAAAAAAAGATACATCTTTGCACAGCAGGCGTGAATCGATGCGTTTCAGTTGTTAGTTACGAACTACTTCCTAGTTTTCACAAGGTCCTTCAATAACTATAAAACATCATTATAATTGCAGCCCATACCATAAAACACCCAAAAATACTTAGATATGGTCATATCAGATTATATAAATGTCAAAATTCGAAATGACAACGATTTATAGCCTCCCGGGAATTCCTTTCCCTTTCCACTCTTTGTCGTGCTGGCGGTCAATGCAGCATGTATTTAAAAAAAAGTTGTCTGCAAATTAACCACGATTTTGCACCTTCAAGTTCAGTGTCACGTTTTCATATCCTGTGCCTATTATTTCTACAAGTATTCTCTGCCCGAAATGCGTAAAGAAGAAATGTCATCTTACCATGTTGTTTGAAAAACTGCTTTTTTCTCCGAGTCCATGTCTCCTCTCCAGTTCACCTCCAGCACAAAATGACCACTCAGCTTTACGTCTTACACCACTACACGTCATTTCCGGCACAATTCTGACCAATGCTGATCTTCTCTGGTACCCTTTATTGTAACCCCTCAATTAAAAAATGAGACCTTAGGTCTGTGTATTTTCTGAAAATTGGCACAAACAAATATTTTTTTGCACAAAGTTCCCATTTTTAAAATTTTTTAATTTTGGCCCATTTGACCTTGAAATAAAGGTCAAAAGTCAAATCCAAGGGCATATTTGGAATCTCCACGTTTGACTTTTATTTAAACTTTTATAGTAATTTTTCCCATAATTCCTTCAGTTTGGGAGATATTTTGCATTAAATTTTCAAAAATTTTGACAAGGGTGCGTTTCAAAAACGTCATGCCCAGGCCAATGCATGGACTGAGACAAAAAACAGGGGGTTCAAGTTGAGATTAAATGTGACCTTAAGCCAATAGATGTGGACACAGGTCCCTGCGGTCTAGGAGGAGAAGGGTAACAGTGACTTGTATCCCACGCCATCCTGTGGAGCCAGTGGAGCTGGCGGAGCCCAGGGCCGAGAGGGCTTTACGAGACAGGTTGGAACTAAACCATTAGTACCACCAGCGTACATGCTGGTAGTACTAAATATTCAGTCAAGCTGGTTTACATGTGGTTGTACATAGAAAGGGGTGTGCCAAATGTTACAACTACACCATACCTTCACAGTCACAAGAATTATTCACTGACAAAACATTCAGTGTAGCTTTCTTCAAATCTTCTTCCATACTATCCTCTTCCCCAATCTTTGTTACTCTTATCTTTACATATGCCAAGAGTGTGCCACCATAGCTTTCGCTGTAATGTACAAATGGAAAAAAAACAGTACTTATTTTTAAGTAATATTCCACTGCATTTTTCATTTGGATTTAACCTTTTCACATTTGAAAATTCCATAATAAGTGTTTTCTGAAACAAAATTTGATGCTGAATACCAATCTGGCAATTTTTTCTACAGCAATTATTTGCCTTAGTGATTTGACAATTTTTAAAATGGCTGCCAAAAAGGCCTACAAAAAGTTTCAATTAGGGATACTACAGCGTGTCATGTGTTTTTTCTTGTGTTTAGGTTGCAAAATCCATTCTGATGTTAATACTGTGACAGGTACATTTCAAAGTGGGTTCAGTTACCATGTGAGCTAACAGTTTACTGTCAAGCCAGACTGAAGGAGACAGAATATTTGATAATGGAGACAATGAACCACTACAACCAGCTTGGTCAGTCAAAATGAAGAGTGATAACATCTCTCAACATCTGTTGGATAGGAATTACAAGGAAGAATCAATTATCCTAACCAAAAAATGAATACTTTTAAATTATTAAGATTAGATGAATGATACACCTTTAAGAAGCAAGAAGTAAAAAATAAAAGGCAGTACTAACATACATAAAATATATATTACAACCCTAAAAACATAACCAAAACACACAATACAAACTTTGGGTCCTATAATTTTCAATGATGAAACACTTGTAAGGTCATTTGGTTTGCCAAATTGAAAATCGTCATTTTACCAACCACGATGGTTGTTGTGAAAAAAATAGTTGTCATATTTGTCTTTATCATCAATTTCTGCCATAGAAAACTCTTACTTATCAAAAATTTTGAGCTTCACCAAACTGTTTTCCGTACAGGTATATTGACGCATAAATTTACTACTGACTTTACTGCTCATAGCTCACACCAGAAATTGACTATTTGTCCCCTTTTGTCTCTAAAAACACCTGTTCATTCAGAGATTTCCCAAAGAGAGTCTTTTTCAAATTAATTCAAATTTCAAATTAATAATGCTTGAGGGTGAATTCAAATTTATTTGGTCATTCTATCAACACGTTAAACCAAAAAAATCCTGAAATTGAGAATATCATATCGGTGTTCATTACTGACAAAAATGTCAGGATAATACTTGACAATAAAATCTGATTTTAAAAAATTACACAAGGTAGCTGTAAAATATCTTACTAAGTAAAACCAAAGGAGCATGCTATAAGCAACGAAAAATACTTACTAAAATTCAATGTAATGAGTCGAATCATACCCTGCATCTCTTATCTAAAATATGAAACATATTCCCATATAAACAAATTATTGAAGTCGTACAAGAGCAAGAGAGAGAGAGAGAAAGAAATAGACAGAAGAAAAACGTTAAAGAAATAACAAAATGAGATTCAAAATTACACAACGCCAGTATGATGTAACGTGTATACGTTTATAATGTAAATGCAGCCAGATTGTGTATGACCTACTTGCACTGACACCTGGTGGGTAAGTTTTCTCATTTGCATATGAATAAAGGTCAAGTGCTGAGTAAGTACTTGAAGTTTGGGATTCGAACAAGCAAGACGTTGTTCTCTTCGTCTTGTCATGGCGCAATAAATACATTATAAACACTAGATGGTGTCGCTGGGTAGCCATCGCATATCCCCGCGCTTCCCCATATTATCAAGAGCAGCTTACCCCTAGGGACCACTTACCACACACACGCACGTACTCACACACATACACACACATCACTGCTTCATCCAAAGGTATTTAAAAAATGAATATGTGTCAAAGGCCCGGACCCCATGTTTATTATACCCTGGCTGGGCCCATTCTTTATGATGTCTTTGCATTGTTAACAGCATAATGGGCAAGTTAATTAACAAAGTTAATTGGCCAACCTGCCAGTTTGTTTGTATGGCATGTGCAGGGGATGTCTTAGATCAAGGCACATATTATTATTCTTACAGGTGTGGCAAATGAGATATAGTATTTCATTACCTGTGATAAGAAGAATTACAATGTTATAAGAATTTAGAATCAACCACCCCCCCGGGGACAGCCCAACACCCTGTGGCACTAAAAATCCCAAATGTTACAACTACACCATACCTTCACAGTCACAAGAATTATTCACTGACAAAACATTCAGTGTAGCTTTCTTCAAATCTTCTTCCATACTATCCTCTTCCCCAATCTTTGTTACTCTTATCTTTACATATGCCAAGAGTGTAAAAATGCCCATGCACCTCCCTGAAGATGGGTCTTCCAATTCCCAAAAATTCAATTTCCTACCTGCAATGGTCTAAGAGCAGATAGCAGAAACTACAATGCCATAAAAATTTAGAATCAGCCACCTCCCTGGGTACAGCCCTACCTCTCTGTGGCACTAAAATTCCAAAATGCCCATGCACATCCCTTATGATGGGTAAATTATTCACCAAAGTTTTAACTTCCTAACTCTAATGGTCTAGGGCAGATGGCAGAAATTACAAAGTCTTAAGAATATAGAATTAATCACCCCCCAGGTACAGCACAACCCCCTGTGGCACTAAAATTCCAAAGTGCCCATGCACATCCCTGATGATGGGTAAACTATTCACCAAAGTTTCAGCTTCCTAACTATGATGGTCAAGGAGGAGATAGCATAAATATCAATGTGATAAAAAATTAGAATCAACCACCCCCCAGGGATAGCCCAACCCCCTGTGGTACTAAAATTCCAAAGTGCCCATGCATATCCCTGATGATGGGTATACCAATTCCCAAAGTTTCAACTTCCTACCTGTAACAGTCTAGGAGGAGATAGCGGAAATTACTAACACACAAACGGGCAGGATAAACACATAGCAATATAGTAAATTCCATTATACCACCAAAACAGTGGTTATATACAATTATTCTGAAATCTCTGTTTGCACATCTTTGTAGATGGCTAACATCCATAATTATTTCTTAAAGGGTTACTTTTGTAGTACTTATAGAGACACTAACTAGAAAAATAACAAGGCAGCAAAGCTGTCATATGTGCAAACAAAAAGCAGGAAATAATGATGTCCTAAGAAGGTAACTGTCAATTCTGATACAATAATGCATTATGCTTAACAGCAAAATCAACAACAAATATTAATAATGTACAACAGGTAATACAAATGTTGGGAATGTGTATTAGCAAAAGGCTTCAAGCCCATGCTCTCATACTTAGAAAATTGCCAGAATGAGAGAAATGAATACTTTGAACACAAAAATTGCATATATTCAAGAAAAACAAATAATCCAACAAGCTGGTTTTCCAATTTCAGCTGCATTTCAATAATAAAAACATTCTATGAGTTAAAAGTTAATAAATAATGCAGTTTTCCTTCAATAATGTTTGTTCACAAAGTATTTATTGTCAACTTCGCAGCAATATTACCTAATGATCAATAGCATAATCTCCAACAATTTTTAATTATCTACTATATGTAACTAGGTGTCAGAACAATAGTATACAATTTATACAGAAGATTTGTACATAAAGGGGACCCGAACTTGCAATCAAAGGGGATTTTCGATTATAGTTCGTGAAAAATACGCTAAATTTATAGAGAATAAAATCATGATTGGCACCAAAAAAATATACGCACAGTGCACTTGTGCATATGCCTGGTTAGACACTTGCTTTTCATTTATATAGTCAGAAGAACTATAATCGCAATTTACTATGAGTTGGCGCATCATTCGTGGGTTTTCTTAAACTGTTTACCTTCCTGCACAGTGAAAATTGTCTGGCCTTTTGATTCTTTTAAGGAAAGAACTTTTCTAGACACTTTTCACTTTATCAAGAATATATGAACTTCTTGCCAAGTTACAATCTGATTTATTGTCCAATAAAGTTTCACCCACCTGACCTCAACTAATTTCAAATATGCAATATATTACTCACCTGGTTTTTTAGTTCTTCTGATGTTTTTATATACTCAGGGCTCAAGTTATTTGTCAGTGCCGGCAAATACCTCTTGTTTAATGAAATACATGAATTCGTTGCCTGGAATAAAAAAAGTAGCAATGAAAGGATTTCCATTGAGGTGTAAATTTTTGTTTGACAATGCAGCAGTTCTTTTATCTATTTGAATTTTATTTTACTTTTGAAACACTTTCAGCCAATTTAATAATTGGGTAATTTTTTTTTTTTGCATAATTTTCAAATGATTAACAAACAACAGGATCAAAGGCAATTACGCCTACCGGTATCCTACTACCTCCCTGCAGGCAAACGACATTGATTCTACGTTGATTCAACATTGATCCACCAAAACTAACGTTGATTCAACGGTGAATCAATGCCGTTTGTCTGCTGGGCCAGCTGGAGGAAGTGTTAGTAAATTGATAGGAAGGTATAGATGGTTGTGCCTTAAGAGGGGAGAAGCAGGGTTTGATATATATAGTGGTAATGTGCATGGGAAGAGAAGGGGAAAATTAAGATAAATTATATATAATACATCTGGAAGTTTCTTACAATTACTGTTCCAGAATTAATGAATGTTAAATTTGGGCATCTAATGGCTGCTTTTTTCATAAAATTGCATTTACTGGAAATTCATGAAGATGAAAGAAGTGCGTAATTGTAACTCCTTAGCATGATATGAGAGCTCAGGTATGGCAGTTTCTCAATATTGACCCAAATATTTTTAGCAGAAAAAAAGATATTTTTACAAAAGTGTATATTGTATGACTAGGAAACGGGTCAAATTCAATTGCATATTTCAAGTTGGCATGCATGATTTATAGTGAGAATTTATAGTAACTTTTTCGATAGTTCTTATCATGTGGGAGATATTCAGCAATTTATAATTTTTTTTTAATTTGGACATGGGTGTATTGGAAAGATGCTACACCTAGATGAATGGACTGACAGAGACTAAAATCCATATTCATCAAGTTGAGATAATATGTGACCTAAATCCAAAAGATGTGGATACAGGCTTGTGTAGTCTAGGAGGATTAGCAGTAACAGTGACTTGGCTGCAGAGCCAATGGAGCCAACAGAGCCAACAGAACTTGGGTCGGGACTTAAACCATGTGTACCACCAGCATCTACGCTGGTGGTACAATAAACATGCCATATAACAAAAATTGAAAAACTTACCTGTAGACTTTGAAAACATTCAGTAACTCTTGGCATCATTGTTGATATCAGCACTAGTAGAGAGATATATATACATTCCTTGATGGCTTCCATTTTAATATCTGAAATAGAGAGTGACAGTGATATAATTTCCCTACCAAAATGTTCAGCTTTCCGCATAGTTTCTGTACCGGTGTAACATGAAAATCTGACTTCCATGAAAATCTGACTCCCCAGTCAGATTTTCATTATGAAAATGTGACTCCCCAGTCAGATTTTCATAATGAAAATGTGACTCCCCCCATGAAAATTTGACTCCCCCTCCACAAAG